TGTACATCCTCAGCCGCAAATCGAGGGTCAGCGAGTGTGGCGCAAAGCAACCCCCGTAGTCCATACTAGAAAGTACCGATTTTTTTTATTATCATGACGAACGCCCGATCTGCTAGCTGCAGGGCTGCCCCAAATCGGTTTTTGGTATTGGTGTGTTTTTTCTTTTCGTTGGCGGATGCATGTTGCCCCGACCCCATAGCTTGATCGAGTGATTTCCGGCCGATGGAACCAACCAGCGTTGACGCTGGCACCCGACTGCAGTCAACATACAGTAGCTTGCATGGGTTTTTGAGCCTGCATGTCTTCGAAATGTGACGCGTCATGAGGAAAGTTCTGCGTTGCAGTGGTGCGTTGTTCGTGGTTGCATTCCCCCCCTTAAACGCCTGGTCCATTTCTCTGCGCTGCCTGTTTTTTTCCTTCTCGCTTTTCCTCGACTCGACTCGCTTCCCACTGTCGCATCATGACCCGGCATGTATCGCTTCGTCGTCTCGGATCGGAATAACAGCGCTGTTGGGATTTACGTGCCATTGCACTCGATCGTGTCTGTGGAGATCAGCTTTCTCGTTCATTTTGTCAATCTGTGACTGCGTCAGACCTAGGTCTTCGAATGCGAGTGCGCCGAGTCCTTTGAGTCCTTTGAGTCCTTTGAGTCCTTTGAATCCTTTTCATTTTGGGCTCCGACCTTCGTCGCGTGACACACGCATCCCTGAAATTGAAGAATTCACGCGCGATATTCAAAGATCGGATTTATCACAGCAAGAACCATCCAGGACATCAAGGGGGGAAAAAAAAGGTATTGTCTCTTCGATTTTTATATATTTTTTTGTTTGTTTGGAGGGGAGGTGCCCAACCGAATGTGGGAGGCCTAGGGCCTTCAGGCATTCTTTGGTTCGGGATGACATAAGGAACCCAACCTTGAAACCATGGTTGGAACCTTCGTTGACAAGCGGCAGTTATATCCGCCTTGTTGCGAAGTTCCTTGAGCTTCAAAAAAGGAACTATTTTGATACCGGTTGAACCACCAAGCTAATCATTACAAGATCGAGATCGAGTGTGGAGACACAGGAGCAACCCCGGGACATAGGCGATGCGGCTTGATCGTGCATATCTCCACTTTTGACTGGAATGCTTAGACGCCGGACCAGGGCCCGAGTCCACCTGGCGTTTAGACCAACACATTTACGACAAGAAAACCGGGTCTGATCACCTGCATAGCCGGCGCCAACCTTGTGGGTTTTTTTTTTTCATGATCAAAACAGACGCGGACTAGCGGACTAGCGGTTCGCCGTTTCTTTCGGGCCAACGAGAAAGACAAGAAAGTCAGACTGAGCCAGAAGTTTACTGCACATCCGGATCGCCATTCGCCCCCTCGACCGTGGGCAGCTGAACCTATTTCCACTTTTCTTCCGTCTACGGTTTTAATTCCCTTCTTTTTCCTTTTTTTTTCCTTTTTCTTTTTCCTTTTTCCTTTCTTTTCCCAAGGCAGTCACAACTTGGCCTTGACCCACCTCAGCTGCTCTCGGTTTTGAAGAGATTGCTACTGTGGTAGAGTTTGAAGATCTCTTGGATCTCTTCTTTTTTGGTCCTTATATATATTTTTTTTTGGATTTCTTTTTTTTTTTTTTAAAAAAAAAAAAAAATCAAAACCCTGGAGAATTCATTGGGTTAGTTTAATTTTTTTTTCCTTTTCTTTTTTTTTCCCTTCCCTTTTTTTGTGGGATTCTGGGATCTGATTTGCTCAAGACTGGGAGATTTGGAAGCCTGTGATCCAATTGATTTTCTGATTTTTTTTTTTTTTTTTTCTGAATTTGACTCTTTCTTTTTTCCCTTTTCTTCCCCCCAATTTATTGATAATAATATTCTTTTAGATCCAAAATCCCGGCCGGAATATCTACGTTTTATCAGCCGTTATACCCATCAGCGAGATCCGCTTAAGGTTTTTGTCTGGAACCGTGCTCGGTTGGCTCTTTCCGCTTGCAAACTGACGACACCACTCCGTTTTCGTCACTTTCGACACATCCATCTCTCACACTCTCTCTATTCTTTGCCAAATTTGTCCTTCATTTGTCTTGTCCATGGTTGGAAGTCCCAAGGGAATCAGAAAAGAAAAAAAAAATCATTACCCCACTACAGCTGCCACCCCTCTTCGACGACATCGTGACTCGTCCAGGGTTCTCTCTTCTGTCCTTATCTTCTCTGGCTGGATTTCTTTCGGTCCAAAGACCCGTTCCTTCCCTTTCTTTCCCACTCTTTACTTTGTAAACCACAGATCACTTATACCTGGTCTTTGTATTCCCGAGGATCGACCTTCGTATCTTGCTGGTTCACTGTCTCTCAAAAGCAACCTCAAATTTAGGCTGGTTCTCTCCACCTTTCCCCCGTTTGTCTGTGACTCTTCGTCTTGATGAGTGCGACATTCTCCGACGCCTCTCTCTCGCGCGAAGCTCAGGGGTGAGTCGTTCTTCCCGTGTCTACTTTGACAGGGTCGCAACTCTTACGCGGTCGTCCAGGGAATCCCACTGACAATGTTGAACAACACCAGTTCTGACTTTGACCTGATCATTCGCCAGCAGCCCAATCGGGCCCGCGTGGCGGGGGGCAAGGAAAAAGGTATGTGGAAGCTCTCTCTCTCTTTCGCTCTTGTTCCTAGCTAGTCCCCGTGAAGCGGGGAAGCGCGGAACTGACAGAAAAGGAACCGGATCTAATGGCGCTTGCAGAGCGCAAACCTATCGATCCGCCCCCAGTCGTCCAGCTCCGGGTGCGAGAGGAGGGCACCTACCTCGCACAGTAAGTGTGCCATTCACCGTGGCTTTGCGCACGTGGCTGACTTTGGCCCAGACATTACCTGCAAAGCCCTTACTATTTCATGTGCTGCAGTCTGTACGATGCAACAGAAGAGCGTCCTGTGCCCGTCGCACCGTCGACTGCGTTAGCAGGAACCCTAGTTTCGTCACTTCACCGGTTGAAGGATGTGGACAACAGCGGTTAGTTCTGGCTGGGCTGGGAGAGGTGGAGCTTGTTCACTGACGGACTTTTGTAGATGGTGGGTTTTTTGTTTTTGGAGATCTCTCCGTGAAGATTGAGGGCGAGTTTCGCCTGAAGTTTACCTTGTTCGAGATGCGAAAGTGAGTAGCACGGTCGGGAGCCTAGTTTGGATTCAATAGCTAACAAAGAGCCAACAGGGACCGCGTCTCCTATTTGAAGACCGTTATCTCAGAACGGTTCACAGGTAAGAATCTGTGCTTTGGAGAGGGCTGGCATAGTTGGGTTCTGACAAGCTTGCAGTCTCCCCTCCCAAGAGCTTCCCCGGAATGATGGAGTCAACTCACCTTTCCCGGTCATTCGCGGATCAAGGTGTGAAGTTGCGCATTCGGAAGGAGCCTCGGACCATGTTGTACGTGCTATGAACCCATGGGAATGTGAAGCCGTGTAGTTAACAACCGCAGGAAACGAACCACACGACCGGAGGAGTTCCACCCGCCAGTCCCTACTCGATCTCCGGAGCGCCAGGCGGTGCAGATTCCTCCATCATCTAGCTATGGAGGTTATCCACCGGCCGCCCGGGATTATGGTTACTACGGCCAGCAGCCGCCGGTCAAGCGTCATCGTACCTCGATCGATTATGGCAGGCAGCAGGGTATCTACGATGTGGATGGTCGAATGGCCCGTCAAATGGATCCATATAGCCAGCCAACAGCTGCCATGTACGCTGGTCAGCCGGGAACCTACCAAACACCTGCCGCCATGCAGACTTACTCCACAGGGCAGGTGGTGCCTGACTATGCGGCGGTTCGTATTCCCAAACCCCCCTTTGCAGGTTTTGGGAGTGCTTTGAGCTGACCCCGGTGGATAGATGTACCCAGGCATGCAAGCCTCAGCGGGCATGCAAGCATCAACGGGCATGCAAGCATCAACCCCCATGTCCCAGATCCCCGATCCTACCGGTCAAAGCCGATCCAGCCAGCAGCAGCAGGCCGCTGTGGGGCAACTGATGGCGATGAACCAGCCTGGCACTCCTGTACGACACCCCTCTGCGAACCAGTGAGAGTGTGGAATAGAACACCTAGCTAAGGACTTTTGGACCCGAGACAGACCCCGGATTCGACTGGAGCTATGATAGCTCAGGGATATGCCCGGTCCGGATACCCCCCTAGCTCGACCATACTTCCTCCTCTACAGCGGAATCGCGACTATCCCCAAGGGACTAATGGATCCGCGCGAGGTTATTTCGACCAAACCCCTCAGGCGAATACCCCTATTCTTCCATCTCAAATGGTCAACGAAGGCGATCGATTTGGCTCCGTGGCCGGCCCAGCAACCTTTGATCACCCCGACTCCTCGAATGGAACGCCCCAATGATTTGCTTGATGTCCTCGACGTTCTCGCTTTATGTTATCTTCTCTTTCTCTTTCTCTTTTTTCTTTCTTCTGTCTTGATAGACTGGGAGGAGTGTTTCATTATTCTTCTTTTATGCTTGATGCTTTAACTGGGTGGCTACAGGGTTTCTTTTTCTTTTTTTTTTTTATACAGGCGCTGGCGGATATAAAAGGGGGAGGTTTTTCTTTCATGGGATTGGGAGAAAAGTGAGATTATTCTTAAGCCCTTCTTGTATATACAAGCCCTTTTTTAAAAGCAGTATCACTAGCTACTTGCAAGTGCTGCTTCTCTTCTTTTTTTAATTGACGATTTACAAGAATAGTCGGCCTCTTGTCACTTGTCTTTGACAATGTAAGACTTTTCTTACATTGTCAAAGTTGATATATTAGGGACGTTATATGTAAGAACACCCCAGTGCCCAGGTGTCTATTTAGGTGTCTTTTTAGATGCATAGGATAAACCGTCTAGAGGATGCTTAATATCTTCACGTACCTTCCTGTTGTTTGCTACCTTCCAGGTTCCCCATCATCTCTTCTACTCCATCTTTCCTCTCTATTATCAGTTTCTCTTTTTTCATTTCCCCATCTTCATTTCATCTCATGGAGCCTATAATGGAACCCACCATGGACCCTAACGATAGCCCTCTCAGCAACCTTGATTTGTGGTGCGACTGGAGCGGTGTTCCAGAAGAACCAGTGTCTATCACAATCGCCATGGAGGTAACACTGAAAAGCCGGGCCTCAAGTCTTCTCCTTGGGTCTCAGTACTGACTGTCGTCTAAATTAAGCTACAAACCTGCGGCCATCCCAACCTCAATTTACCCATCCTCAACGTCCAGTCACCAAACACCGTGAAGATCCCGTCTTGGGTCATCCGGTTGAAGCCTGACTATGCCCACTATGATGCCGACACTCCGCCGGAGAAAGAGGATTGGCGGCATGGTCTGGAACATAGCGATGAGACCGAGAAATACCCTGCCAAGAATGGCTCTGTTCCTGACTCTGGGAGTGTTGTTGTTCATGATGATCCGCAGGGTGTCTCTAGTCCTACTGTGAATATCTCCGGGATGTACACCAAGGTTGAGAGCTCGGGTAGCTCAACCTCTTCTGCCCCTCGCAAGAGCCAGGTCGACAGCCTGGGTAGCCCGCACTCCTCCAACCCTCGGAAGAGATCGGCCAAGGCTGCTTCTCTGCCTGACTCAATCGCTCCTGACGATGAGTACCAATGCACCCGACACAAACTTATGATGACCAAGATCGACCTGCCGCCGGAACTGGAGCCTGTGTCCCAGGACAATAGCCCCGCCATCGAGAAAATCAGCAGCTTCATTTCCAGTCTAGAGGAAGCCAGCATCACGCCTGAGAATATCCTCTTGCCTCAAGACTCTGTGCCAGTTACCCCGAGCATTACATCTGAGCATATTTTGCTAAACGGCAAAGGACCGACGGTTTATAATGTACCTGAATCTGATGACACTTCTCTCAACAAGATTGACTTGAGCGGCACTAAACCGCTCACCGAAGCGAACTTGCTCCATCGGAATTATGATATACTATCAACTCGTGGGTGCAATGGAAGCCTCTCTGACAGCGAAGATTCTGACAAAGAAAAAGAGGACCTGCTTGTCTCACTTGAATCCATTGCATCACCATCATTTTTCTCGTGCTCTGGGTTTTATGGACTTCTGTCCCCGACGTCCGCGGAAATTGACAAAGAGAAAAACAAGCCCAAGCTCATCTTAAACAATGACATTCTTTATGTTCAGACCCCTTCCACTGTCTACTCTGCGACATACCAAATTGCGATTGCGCTCAAGATCAGGCTGCAGAAAGGAAAATCGAGGGATTGGTGGAAGTTGATTGTGAATGGACTACCTCGACTCGCCCAATCCGAGTCTGGTTATCTCTACTTCCGAACACCCCCGGGCCAGGGAATGGAGTTCATGACCTCATCGTTCAAACGACATACCCTCGTGGAAAGCTGCTTGATGGCTCAGATTCACAGTGGAAAAAGCCTCGTGGTTCCGTTCCGTAGGTGCAACGCAGAATACTACGGACAACTCAAGGACCACAAAGTCAACACGGTCATACGGGCCGAGGTGGCAGACGCCGGCGATCCATCGTCCTATCTAATCAAATACAATGCCGTTTGCTCCATTGGTCTCATCAATCATAACTTCTGGGCTGAGAAGTGCAAATTCAACCTCTTTGTGCATGGCGGTCCAGACGGCGAGTTCAACGCCGTTTTTGCAGCAAAAAAGCCTCTGATAAACTCGATTCGGCTACAAACAGCGCTGGATGGGATGGGAATCTCGCGCATCGATGTTGTCAGTGTTCCCCAAGCTCTGGAAATGTTCACGGTGTCGTGGGAAGTCACACTGCCGCGAGGCAAGGCTGTCACCTGGCTGCCATGGATTAAGACCACGGTCAGCTTCCGTGATGTTGAAACTATTCTCCAAGAGGACTACGCCATCTTTAGCCCCAAGCATGAAGTGATCCCTCCGAAGCGCCAGAAGGTTGATGTTGATACTAGGAGCCAATTTTCAAGTGGCCAACTGGGAATGTTTTTCGATTTTAAGCCCCCAGTTATGGCAACCCCAGCTCCATATCTTCAACGTGGAGCTCTTCTCAATCACAAGCCTAAGATCCATGGGCCTCTATTTGGCAAACCAGCTTCCAAGTCTACAAGTACACAGACTGTTGCGGGAACTCCAGTTGCCGAGCCAAAGAAGCCCGGCCGTGCTGTCGGATTGTGGACCTTAATCAGGTTCGTTTTCCAACTGCTTAGTTTCTTGGCATCTGTTCACACCATCTACTGGTCGTACTTGCTGCTCAACCGTGGGTTCCGTCTCGACCTCCGTGCTCTCCACACTTCATGCCCGCCAAACGAAGTGTATGTCTATGATCCAGTGGACTGCGCAGAGAATTTTACCAATCCTGACTTGGAGAAGGAGTTGAAAAACGTCTTGATGGAGTTTAATCTTCAGCCTGAGCCGATTCGATTTGAAGTTCAGCCGTCCGTCAACACCACACCTGCCAGCATCACCCCAATGCCCTTGAGAGACCGCATCGATTACCTTCTCGGATGGCGAGGGCCAATGGAGTAAATCTCTGGGGGAATGGGATTGCTTAGTATCGTTACGGAGGAGAATATCGGGATATGAATGAGGAACCGCAGAATAAGACGCAGCAATTGCTGTAGTTAGCAGATAGCAAACATAAGGGAAAAAAAATCTATTGATTAAGCGATTGTCCTACTCATTCTTTTTACTATGGCACCCGGGGTATACCTATCTTACTATTCCGCTAGACTGTTCACAAAAGAGCGTTTAGCGAAGTCAAGGCAGATATCAGATAAGGAGAGTTCAATGTTGTGACCATAGTACTTACACGCTATGCAGGTAGCCCCGAAATTAGATTGAGCTCGCCATACAAAGTAACATGACCCTATCGAACCCGCTTCTCCAAAGGATTTATCGTTATCTCACGACGCGCGGCATTGGTTTCATCTATTTTAGTACCTACATATCTTATACCTTTTCCCCCAACTCTCTACCCGCTTATCCCTAAAAGCTTCCAACTATGGTTACTAAGCAAATGTGACTTTATCCCTGTTCTTAGGAAATCATAAACGCTTACACAGTTTATAGCGACGTCGATGTTTTGGTTATCGGTGCTGGCCCAACCGGTCTGGGTGCTACTAAGCGTCTCCAGCAGGTGCTAGGCCAGAATAAATTAAACGAGAAATATTGAAATTATTATCCAGGCCAACTGACGGACTGGTGGAATTTAGAAAACGCCTCATGGTTGATTATCGACTCGAATGAAACCGCCGGTGGCTTGGCTTCTACCGACATTACCCCAGAGGGTTTCGTAAGTCAACTCTGCAGCAAGGGAGTATAAAAGCAATCGGATATTCATTGCTATGCAGTTGTTCGATGTCGGTGGACACGTTATCTTCTCCCACTACTAGTATTTTGATGACTGCCTCAATGAAGCCCTTCCCAAGGCCGAGGATTGGTATGAGCACCAGCGTGTCTTCTTCGTGCGCTACGATGGTCGTTGGGTCCCCTACCCTTTCCAGAACAACATTTCCGTCTTGCCCAAGGAAGAACAGGTTAAATGCATCACTAGCCTAATGGATGCGGCCCTGGAGGCTCGCGCTCGTCCGGCTAGCGACAAACCTAACAACTTCGACATCTAGAATACCCGTAATGTTGGCGAGCGACTGAATGAGATCTTCATGCGTCCGTACAATTTCAAGGTCTGGGCTCTGTCCCTAAGTAAGATGAATGCTACCTGGCTAGGTGAGCGTGTTGCCGCACCCGACCTGAAGTTGTTGACCAGCAATGTCATCCTGAACAAGGTGGCCGGCAACTGGGGCCCCAATGCCACTTTTAAGTTCCCGGCTGAGGGTGGTACTGGGGGTATCTGGATTGCTGTGGCCAATACCATTGCTAAGGACAAGACTCGCTTTGGTAAGCAAGGAACGGTGGTCAGGGTTGATGCCGATGCTAAGAAGGTCTACCTGAAGGACAGTAGGTTTGAACTACACATATCATCTTCAGCCAGCAAGCTAAAGGATATTGCTAGGAACCGTTGTTTAATACAGATCACTCATCTCGACTATGGCTGTTGACTACCTAGCTGAAGCCATGGCCGATACCAAGCTGCAGCAGCTGTGCAAGCCCCTCTTCTACTCTTCCACCAATGTCATCGGTGTCGGTGTTCGTGGCAAGCTCCCTGGACGCATCGGAGACAAGTGCTGGGTATGTTAACCTCAACAATAGAAAATGGAAAAAAAAAAAACAAAACAAAAAATAGCATCTAACAGCCATAGGTCTACTTCCCCGAGGACAACTGCCCCTTCTACCGTGCCACCATCTTCTCTAACTACTCCCCTAACAATCAGCCGAAGAAGGACACCAAATTGCCTACCAAGCAACTTGCCAACGGCTATAGACCCGCTTCTTCCGAGCCCAAAGAAGGACCATACTGGTCTATCATGTTGGAGGTTTCCGAGTCGCAGTACAAGCCCGTCAACCACGACACCCTGTTAGCCGACAGCATCCAGGGTTTAATCAACACCGAATTACTTTGGCCTGAGGACGAAATCGTCAGTACGTACGTGCGTCGTTTTGACCACGGCTACCCGACCCCCAGCTTAGAGCGTAACGGTGCACTGGACGAGATCTTGCCTTACTTGCAGCAGAAGGATATTCTCTCACGTGGCCGCTTCGGTTCGTGGAAGTATGAAGTCGGGAACCAGGATCACAGGTAAGCTGGCCAATTCTAAAAAAAAGTCAGCGAGTGATGTATGCTAACGGAATGTAGTTTCATGTTGGGGGTCGAAGCTGTTGACCATATCGTCTCTGGTGCTGTCGAGCTCACCTTGGCCTACCCGGACTTTGTTAATAGCCGTGCTAACACTGAGCGTCGCTTAGTGTGAACACTGTTGTGTGAGGCATGGTATCATAATACGAAGCTGCTGGATACCCTAGCGAATTTATGTTTAATAATACGTTGAATTCTCCTAGGCCCTTCTTATTTTTCATTTATTTCCTACTATCATTTAAGCCATAGGAATAAATTTGCTATTTTAGGATGAAAATCAGATTTGAAGGTCAACCCCATTTTGGCTGCAGACATCCAAACTTTTGCTCATGTCTATATAGTAGCTCCATCATCTTTGAGAGACTGTTTGACTGTCGTGTCGGATGGCGAGAAGCAATTCTGCGGTAGTAAATCTTTGACTATAGGGATGGCTTAGTATCGTTACGGAGAGAATTGCAGAAGTAGGCACAGCAATCGCTACAGTTAGCAGGTAGCAAAAATAGAAGACGGAGATATATTGCTTAGGCCACTATATATACGCACTATGTATACGCACTTGTAAACCATTTAAGCTATACCTACACCACTATACCCCCATCCGATCCAAATAATACCCCAAAATCAACTCAACGGCCCACCTCAAAACAACATCCATCCCTGCACTCCCACACCCCGGTGCAACCTCGACCCCAACATCAGTCCTAGCCTTAGTCCCATCCCCAATCCTCCGAACAAGCTCAGCCTCCGTCAGAGCCTGACTACCGTCCTTCTGATCCTCATCTTCATCCTCGGCAATCAACAACCAGGCATGATCCGTCACATACCGCGGCCAGACAACATCATCCACATACCCGGGCGGATCAACCCAGAAATTCTGAGGTGGCCGATCATCCTCAGCTTCAAGATCAATATCTGTCCCTGTCTTTCCTTCCTGACTATCCCCCCCATCTTCAGTAATCTGCGCTGGCGGCTCCGGCACCGGCCCAACAGTCACATACCCACTCCTCCCCTCGCGTCTAGCCTTAACAAGCTCATATGCCGCAGGCAGGAAGAGAGGGAGATGTATAGCGTCATGGACGGAACGGAGGACGTGCTGTTCTTGCTCAGGCGGCGCAAATAGCAAAAATCCCTCTAAGAACGCAATAGTCGGGCTCTCGGTGCTTTTCTCTGCTGCTTTGTTCCGTAACCGAGACCCAACAATATCCCTCAACTCCTGTACGATCTTGTCGGACACGCCGGAATCCGTCGCGTCGTTTTGGTCTTCCTTGCTCCGTAGTCGCGGTGGGAGTGTCCCGTTTTCGCGCACGTAGTGTAGTGCCTGCGAGAGAAAGGGGATGTCGATTGCGGAGGCTGTATCCCAGTCTTGAATCTTCTCGCCGGAGGCGGTGGTTGTGTAGGGGATTCTGGGGTGTGTTAGTATGGGGGTTGGTTTTTGGATTAACGGAGGACTGCTTTTATTTGAGACAGGGTAGGTATATGGATGGTGCTAACGAAGAGGTGTACGCACTTATCGTCCGGGAAATAGAAATCATCTTCGTGGATTATGAAGGTGTTTAGACGTGAATCCTTGGGCTTAAGATTCACCCCGCAGAATACACGCTGCAGTAACCGCGCAAGGGTCGTCTTGCCGCTGCTCGAGGGCCCCGAGATCCCTATTATCACGGCTTTCTCATGAACTGGCTTGCTCATCTTTCTTTTCTCAATAACTTGGAAGAGATTGGAGAATTGAAGCTTTCCAGGTGCCAGGTGAGGGGTGCGATTGTAAGAAAAAGCTTATCTTATCGTTGACCTCATAGATCCAGGCACATAGAAACCTGGTTTCTACCGCTTTCGTATTTCGTATACATCTATAAAAGTCACATCTGAACAGAGTACCCAAATGCACATCGGTACACATAATATATCAGATTATCAAAGACTTACGTCGAAGACAGAGGCGCAACTATTCTTGTCTTCTGGCTTGTAAAATTACAAGCCACGGGTCTACCTAATTAGGATCGGAACCTTCAACTTAAACTCATCTCAATCTAGAGTTATAAATAGCGCATAAAAGAGTTAAGCAGCAACTGCCCCTACTAATGGTTTAAATGTAATGCCCTTTAGGCTCTATTCCTTATTCTACTTTATCTTATGTTGCCCATATGTATACTTGATGTATGAACTAATTCTTTTCCCTTTTGACTTGAATAAACTGTCATTCTTCTACATGCGTGTGGAGTATAGTGTAAGAAAATCCAAAATGCCGCTAGAACGCTAAAGTATAGAGAAATATCATGGCCGGAACGGCCCAAACAACGAGGGCGCCCTCTCAACACCGTCCCTGGTAAAATCTACCGCAGAGTGTATCGGCATGAGCCGCACTGGACTAGATGCTCCAGCACCATCCTCAATAACTGTCCCACGCTCCGCAAAGCCTGTCAGCGAAGGTCTAGATATAGGGACCTCAGCCTTAGAAGCCGAATTCAACCTAGGCACGGGCTGCAGCGGCGTAGGAACCGCATCCACAGTACCCTCACCCATGACCTGGTCATGCTCCGCAAAGCCAATCCGTCGCCGCGGGGCCGATGACCCCTGAACACCAGTCGAATCAGAATCAGCATCGGACTCCAAAGCCCGAGGCCGTTTCTGCGCCGTTTTGCCGGTCGGTTTCTGCCCCGGTGGCCTGGGCGCACGGACCTTCTCTTTATCGGGAATCGGCAATTTATGCCGATCAAATAGCCCGAGTGGATGTGTCAGTGGAGCCATGCCGGCGGAAGCCTCGTCGGGCATGGGTAAAAAGGGCTCGTGTTTAATAATGTCGCTCATGGTACTATCTTGAAGCGGGTCATTTCCTGCGTGCTTTGTCTCCTCGGCGGTCATATTTTTGCTGCGGGTGAGCATCCGGTATTCGAGAGTGTCGCCCAGGACGAGGGTTTCGACGTAGACTGCTCTTTTCTGGCCGATTCTGTGGGCTCGTTTGATGGCTTGGCTTTCCACGTTGCGTTCCCAAATCGGGTTGACGATGTACATCCGCGAGGCTTCGGGGATGTGGAGGCCATGCGAGGCTTGTTTGACGCTCATCAGCAGAACACGGACCTCGTCGGTTTCGCGGAATTCACTCAGACTCTCGGTTTTTACATTGGATCCCATACTCGCAGTACTTGCGTAGGTGCGGAATTTAACTGCTATTAACTCCAGGCCTTGCTCGACCCAGGAAGCGACGTTGTCGTGTTCATAGAAGATGATGATTTTCTCGGTTTTCTGGAACTTCAGCACTTGGTCCAACAAGTACCGAAGCTTGGCCGATGCTACTCCTTCCAGTTTCGTTTGTTTCAATGGCGAAGTTTCTGGGAGAGTGCAGAAGTTCAAAGTTTGATCTTTGTCTTTCTTTTTTGAAGTGGCTGTCTGGCTGTGTTGAGCTAGCTCCCGACGAACTTTGATTCCCTCTCCTGCAAGACCATCGGCGGGATCAGGCATGCGGAGACGGTTCATCACAAATTCTTGCGCGCGACGGGCTTGGGTCATACCCATGAGCAGAGGCTCGCGGTCGGTGTCCGTGGCATCAAGGGCCCACATGTTGCGAGCATATTTTGGGAAACGCCGAACGAAGACTCCAAGCTCATGCATCTTTTTGAATCCATTCCAGCCAGGGGAATTCATTGCCTTTCGTCCGATCTGGATTCCCTGTTTCAATTGGTTGAGATCCGCCACTGTCATCTTCTCTTGGTTTTCTTCCAGATATTCTAGAGCAATGTCGACAGTGCTTTGGACATTGTCATCGCCAGCCCACCAAAACCCAGCCAGGCGTAAGTTTTGTATCAACTCAGTGAGCTTATTTTTGTTTTTGCTTTTCTTTTTTTCGTCGCCCTCATAAAACATATAGTCGGGACCTTCACGTTCAGATGTAATAGTGTTGACTGCGAGTGTAAAGAGGAACATGTTGATGTATAGCCTGTCGTAGAAAGTCGGCTCAAGGTAGACCACTTTGTTATACAGCGGTGGAAGAGTGATCTCTTTTTTGACCGTTTCGTACCGGTGTCGTACAACAAGACTCTGGAGGGTCGCACGTAGAGATGGAGATTTTCGAGAAATTCCATCTTTACCCACCGTTTTTGTGTAGCATACCCATTCTTTAGGATTGTTGGCCCAGGGCCTGAGTTTGAAGAAATTATGAACCATGTCGCCCAATTTCCTCAAGTCCGGGTCTTCATTGCCCCCCTTTCTGCGGGTTTGGGGGATGGAACCGGCGTGATCGTCGGGCGATGATTCAGGATCGTCTGTGCCCACTTCCTGTGAAGCAATGCTAAGTTCCACTCCATACATTTCTGAGAGGGGGGTTCCCGAGATCATCCAGCGGCGTTCGAATTTCAGCTTTCTTAGAAAGTCGACCATTTCGGTTGTTTTACCCGCAAGGTTGTGCCCTTCATCGACAATAACTCGCAACCAGTGAAGATCGAGAATAGGGGCATCCGACTTCTGCGCACGACTGTTGCGGTTTGCTTTCTCTTTGCTGCATCGGCCTTTGGAGAACATCACAATATCAAAGTTCAGAAGTTCGTCCGTTGATGGTGTTGTGTCCTTCGTTCGCAATACTAGAAGTTTCAGATCGCTGGTGTGAGTAGCGATCTCACGTTCCCAGTGGTCCACCAAGTTTTCCGGGACGATAACGAGTGTACCAGAGCAGAGACGAATGTGCTCCGCCGGCTCGGCGTACCATGATGTAGACCTTTGATTGTCGCGTTTCGCCGGTATCATGTAGGAACCACTCTGGGCCATACAGGCCGTCCTACAATTAACATAATCTTTCTCTTTTTCTACCAGCTGCAAGTCAAAGAAGTCCTTCCAGGGCAGGGAAAAGCGACCAACAGCAGCAGCAGCCATTTCCATTAATGTTCCAGTCTTGTTCCTGATTGGGTTTTCGAGTGTTTGATACTCCACCGGGATTTTGGGGAAATGTCCCCGCGTAGCCAATATCACAGCAAGACTGATGAGTGTTTTTCCACATCCCATGGACTCTGCCAAGATCCCTAGTAACAGTCAGTATAGTTCACTGAGATATTTACAACCCAACAATCATTGGGGAAACCAGCGCCAATAAAGTGAGTTCCTACCTCCACAAGCCTCGGGATACAATATCTTGTCCTTCAAAATACTGCCAGACTCTTTGTTATAATAGAACTCCAACCCAGTCGGACCCCGCCAAGGCTGGAATCTCGGATCAAGCGCTAGCGCCGGCTCTGCCTCCCGCTGCACCATCACAACAGCAGATTCGCGCTGAAACGGATGAAGTTGTGTTTTAAGACCTCGAACCGAATCGCCAAGCAATGCCTCCATGGCGTCCCGGGAGTGCAAATCTGTTAAGCGATCCAAGTCCAGAGTGGGTTCTTGCAGCGTATTGAATATGTAATACAGAGATTCTTCTTCGTCACTATCGGATTGATTATTGGTAATTAGACCAGCATGGGCATCAATCAAGCCGTTCCAAGCTTCAGAGGAGTTGTCGATCATAGACATGACGAGTTTGAGATGGGTTAGGAGAATACTTTCGGTTTCACCTCTTTTCTTTTTTTTAATGGGTTTCTTTTGCTGTGCGTTCGGTAGCACGAAAACTTGTACATTGTTGCTGCCGCTAAGAGAGCGTGTTCGGATCCATTCGTGTTTTTCTAGAAGCGCTACCTCGGAGTCTGGGTAGCGGGGCTTGGAGGAGAATTTGCCCAAAACGCCGGCTGGGATATAGCCATCCATATGCGCATTCGTTGTCTCTAGGGTATGGGGTTCAAGATGCTCATCTGTCATCTCCGAGTCGGAGGGCTCATCTTTCACCCTTAGGTCGAGCCCATCTGTCACATCTGGGCCGAGAGGCGCATCTAGCGCCTGGTCTTCCCATTTCATATCGGGTTCAGGACCGGACATGGCACTGAAAGGCCGAGGAACCCCTGAAGGTCCATGATTTGTTTGTATTGGTCTGATCATGGAACCTGGGGCCCATTGTGCTTGCTCTGACATGGCGAATACCTGCAAGAAGAAACAACATCCCACGGAATCTGGAGAGATATTGGCAGAAAGGTGACCGCTTTTGATAAGCGGCTCCGCCAGGTGGATCAAAAAGGGTCCGAGCTCCCACGGGTTGGCTCCTTAGGCCAACGTCCTTTCTTAATACATTTTACAACACTCGTTAATGGCTATATTAACCTCATTCATTACACTGTTGTCACTATTAATATTATTCACTAGAAGCACGATGAGCCATCATCAAATTACCACGATCTAATCTATCACACCCCCCCCCCCCCCCCCCCAACCAATGAATCCATGACTCCTTGAACAATGCACCAAATTCAAATTCCATTCCCTACCCAGGCCCCAAACAGGCCCGAGCTTGATCTCGAGCTCACTGGGTCAAAAAGTCCTCAATCTCAAAACCCATGCGCTTAAGCGCCTTCTCCTCCAAATCCCTTCCAACAACCTTCCTCAGCACAACCGTGCGAGCATCCTGCAGCCGCACCTCAACAGGATTCCCACCCATACGATCCAGCTCCTCCTTACTGCACTCACGAATGTAAACCGTGATATCAGGACCCACGCACGCGCGCCACAGCGACGCCATCCACTGCCAGTGATCGAGCGGCGCGTAGGAGTCGCTGATGGGCGTGGAGCAGGCGAATGCGTCGGCCGTAGTGAGCTGGTAGCGCGGGACGAGCGCTATCGGCACGCCGTAGTTACTACCTGCTGTGATGGCGCTTGTCTCGGAGCCGTTCTCGCTTGACTGGGCTGGGGAGTGGATGTGTATGTTTGCGGTTTTGGGGATGAGGGTGCAAGGGGAGAGGTTTGGGGCGGGGGGTTCCTCGTCTGTTGTTATGGAGCGGGCGTCGACGGAGCCGGCTCTTGAGGTGGATTTCACGAAGCTGACGACGTCATCCGAGATCCGGTGCCAGGCTGAGATGGTGTTGAGGTAGTCGACTGTCGCGTCGCCCATCTGGCCTGCTTCTGCGGAGTTGGGGCGGGGTGCTTTGATTTCTGGTCCATCGAAGACTCGGACGTTGTACTTTGCTTCCTTTTTTAGAAGGTTGTTGAGGTATTCGAGGGCTATTTGGACGAGGTCCGGGTCTTGGCCGTCCACGGCGATGACGGGACCGCGGGCTGGTGGGATGCCGTCTTGGAATGAGGGGAGGAGCGGTGGGGAGATCTTGGCGAGGACTTTGATCTTGTTGAGGAAGGGGATTGTCATGACTGTTGCTTCGACACTGGATCCTTCTTGTGGATAGGGTGTCATGGGAGTCATCACAGGTGTTGTGGTCTGGAGTGGTGGTAGCTTTAGACTGGGGTCCGGGTGTGGCTGGCCTGGGACACTTTGATATGACCGTTGCGGTTGAAGCATGGGGAGATGACGTGGTGGCATATCAGGACGAGCACTCCAAGGGGTCATCGGGTGCGGTGATTCAGGAATGGCACTGCCAGGACTGTGGTCCCGGTAAGAGGGATGTAAATTTGGCTTGAATGAGTGAGATACTCGGCGGCGTTTATTATCGGGAGATCGACCACTGGGTTCCTCCCAGTGTCTTTGGCGAGAACGAGGATCGTGGTCCATCTTTGCCGACTTTGGTGCGGGATTGGGGTCCTTTTCGCGGCCTTGGACACTTCTTGGCGGCATGGCATTTGGGTGTGGTGATGATACCGAGAAATTTGATGGTGGTCGATACCCCGGCCCACTGCTGGGTGTGAATGGAGTCATGGGGGAAGCGGGTGCGTTCATCAATCGGCCACCACACCTGTTACAATGCGATGAACCAGATGGATTGTGCCCAATTCCCGAGGCCGAACTCCGGGTACTTCCATCCCGACCATACCGCCGAGGCTGGTAGCGGTAGTCAGGGTATTGCTGCTGATGCCGAGCTTTTTCCTCCTGGGGTGATCATCAGTATCTTGAAATCCTATTTTCAGAGATGCCAGTCTCACCTCTGCAAGTGCCTTCCATTTACTCTTATCATCCTCCGACAGAGATCGCCACTGTTCTCCAATAATCTTGGATATCTCGGGATTGGCCAAGCCGGGATTATGAGCAACCACCATGGCCTGATAATGCTGACGATACAGAATAAAAGCTAGAAATTGCACAATTAGCTATGCCCCATGTATTCGAAAGATCAGATCTGGCTAACGAAGACCAAAAAAGAAACAATCGAAAAGAAAAGCCACTTGCCAATCTCTAATGACGGTGCGGACAGTATCGACTCACCATTACGAGGCCGGGGAATTTTCGGATCCGGTTGACACAGGCAAAACTGCATGGCATTCTCTTTCTGTGATTTGACGGGACTGGTACTGCTGGCGGAAGACGAAGATGATCGATCTGATCTGTCGCGCAATGGCAATTCCTTAGTCGAAATCATGGGCCCCACAGGTTTGACTGAGCCATTTGAGGACACCTTGTGTGCATGTGGCTCTTTGGATGCATTTAGGGAGATATGTTGATGTGTCTGATGTACCGCTGATCGAGGATCAGAGTATCTGACTGAAGATCCAACTGGACCACCGTCGGCAGGGTGTCTCATAGCCATGGCAGATAATTCTTCGTTCATGATTTTGTGATCGAGTAAATTGCTCGGCCTAGGCAGAGTGACTTGGGCAGACTCATAGCGCAGAGCAACAGGGTTGGGGAGAACTCGATCGTAAGACATTTATTTAATACTTTTCTCTCTCAATGAAAGGGCTCGACGGCGAAGTTTGAATGAAAGAAATACCACAAGGGAAAGATAAAAGGGGAGGAGAAAAAAGCATAAGCCTTGAAAGAGAAGGCTGAAGTGAATAGGTTTGGGGGGCGACTGGGCCCCAAGAAATAACAAGAAAGAGGAGGCTAGAAGTGAGCAACAAAGAGAATGAATTCGAATGAATCCGAATGAATCCAAATGAATCCAAATCAGAGAAAAAATGGGAAATAATCCCAATAAGAAAAGATTGAAAGACCGGGGAATACCAGGGATTAGGACAAAGCGAAGTATAGCGTTTGGACAAAAAAGCCCTAAAAAGCGTGGGATTCTTTGTCTGGGTTTTCCCCCCAGAATCCCTGTCTAGCGGCTGGTTCTTTGACAATAGCTCCAGATTGCTCTTGATATTCTGACCGAGCCAACCGAGATAAAAAAGAAATTATCGAAGTACCCAAATTAAAAACAATTAAAAAAAAAAAAAAAAAAATCGATAGCAAGTGGCTTTTCTTTGTTATACATTCATTCTAAAACCTCAACCGTTATACTTCCAACTGACACGGTACCCTTCAGATATTAGGTAGCCCCCATGTTTTAAAAAAAGAAGCAAAAAGAATAAAAAGGAAAAAAGAAAAAAGAAAAAAAAGAAAAAAGAAAAACGAGGTGTCAACTCAAAAAAATCCAACTAAGAAAACCCCCCTAATCTCCCTAATCTCCCTAATTTCCCTAATTTCCCTAATTTCCTTATTTTCCTTAATTTCTTAATTTCCAGGGCCAAGGCACTAGAGTCATTGTTTTCTTTGTCTCCGGATGCGGCGACCCGCTTGATCGAGCTGGTCCACGAGGCTCCACCGAACAATTCCCTCATGTTGATTGGCCGGGGCATTTCCTAAATCAGTTCCCCGGCAAATCAAACAAAGAAATCAGTTCAATCAGTTCAGTTTAGACTAGAGTCAAATGATTTATTTCGGGTTTTTTTAAACTTTAGTTTGTAGTTTGTCTCATGGCATTGTCACCTGGACTGATCTATATTCTTTTCCTATGATTATGATTATGATTATGATTATGATTATAATTATATTCGTTTAGATAATCGGAAATCAAAATCCTTCCCAACACGCTGGGATCCGGGATGATCTCATCGCTCTCTCCATCCACCGTTACAGTCAAACTCGCTTTGACTCTTAACAATACCACCCTTTCTATTATTTTCCTTATGTCTCGGGTAAACGATATCGGTCTGGATCTTCCCGTCAGGTTCCAATAACTCTTCTGCAGGTTCCAGTTAATGGTCTGACATTCGGTACTACCGTGTCCTTTCCAAGGTTGGTTCAGAGTCAAGGGTTATCCACGCTTCGATTGTCCTCACTGGAACCTGGCCACTGCTCCGCATCAAGTATAGTCGGGTTTGCGTTTGATTCTCGGGTACCGACATCATTTGCTACATGTATGTACAGACCTCCCCGGGCACATTTGCGAGACGTCATATTTGTCACCGTTCTTTACTTTCTTTCCTTTTTTCGCTTCTCATTTTCGAGTTGTTTGGGTGAAGAAATTGGCTTCTCATTGATCTAGACAATGTCTAAGCTGCAAATCCCCGTCGGTTGTGGCGCTTCCCTGACGCTCCCTTCAGGTTCAAAGATCAATTCCCATGGTAGATTTCCGCAGCCATGAACCGGTGAGCTAAAAGTCCCAAATGCATATCTGGTTCCTGAATTCAACAGTGTCACGGTCAGCAGAAAAAAATAGGAAAATTGACCTGTCGATCCCTCCCCCCACGTTTCTTATAGAAATGGTAAGGAATGACGAAAAAAAAAAAAAAAAAGGAACCACTTACCAGAACCGATACTTGTCTGGATGCTTACTCTGTTTTCTCTCTCCTTTGACATCATGACCTGGAACCCACTCTCAGCACAAGGCTCCACGATATTTTCTCACCCAGGGTCGAAGTTCTTCCCTAACCCATTATCCTTCTCAATACCCGCCGCATAAAGCTGCCAGTCACGAATGCGTTCGTCACAAAAGCATTGGTATCAATATAGACAGTACCATGACCCCACTCCCTAGCCACCTCGCGCTTCCCATTCCACTCTTCCAGGATCCCTACTGAACCCTTGTACCGACCACCTGCAGACCTGAACCCTGGCAGGAAAGTCACGTCGGCCGTCTGCGTCAGAATGAGTTTCAGCTCCGTTATGCCCCGTCGCTCGGACAACGTATTGACCCATAAGTGTTGCAATACGCCGCCCAGCCGATTTGCTTACTGTGTAGTACCTTGTAACCGAGCTTCAGATATGATCGTGC